TAATTTATCGCAGTTTATCTTTCAATGTTTATTCCCATCAATTTGTCATCATCTTTTTTTCCCCATTTCCCGCCTTCTTCATGTTTTTTTTGTTGCTCTATGTACTGGATTCCCTTTTTCTTTTCAAATTCGAAAACATTCTTCCCCTTCCTTTCCATCTTGGATCCTTTTTATCGTCTTCTTCTTTTATTTTCTCTTTTCAGCTTTGCCCACTTTCTATCGTTGCCCTTGGCCACATGTGCCTCTTTTTCTCTTTGCGATTTTGAATCTTTTAGTTTTTGGATGAAATTTTGCATCAGCTTTTAATAGCTTTTGCATCTTCTGATTCTTTCCATCAATAAAAGAACATTCATTTTCTGTTGTTTTAACAAAACTTGATCAAATCTGGGTTCTTATCTGGTTTTCTTAGAAAAGCTCTTGAGTTTGTCTCAAAATCTCTCAAAAATCCCAATAACTTTAATTCCTATCAGCTTCAAAATGATCCAAAGTACTGAGAGAGCTTTCTGAGAGAGTACTGAGAGAGCAAAGTAGTTTCTTAGTAAGTAAGTAAGCAAGCAACTAAGCAAATAGTAAGTATGTAAGCCAGTAAGTAAGTAAGTAAGTAAGTAAGTAAGTAAGAAAGTAAGTCAGTAAGTAAGTCAGTCAGTCAGTAAGTAAGTCAGTCAGTCAGTAAGTAAGTAAGTAAGTAAGTAAGTAAGTAAGTAAGTCAGTAAGTAAGTAAGTCAGTAAGTAAGTCAGTAAGTCAGTAAGTAAGTAAGTAAGTCAGTAAGTAAGTAAGTAAGTAAGTCAGTAAGTCAGTAAGTCAGTAAGTCAGTAAGTAAGTAAGTCAGTAAGTCAGTAAGTAAGTAAGCCAGTAAGTCAGTAAGTAAGTCAGTAAGTAAGTAAGTCAGTAAGTCAGTAAGTCAGTAAGGCAAGTAGGTAAGTAAGTAAGTAAGTCAGTAAGTAAGTAGGTAAGTAAGTAAGTAAGTAAGTAAGTAAGTAGGTAAGTAAGTAAGTAGGTAGGTAAGTAGGTAAGTAAGTAAGTAAGTCAGTAAGTAAGTAAGTCAGTAAATCAGTAAGTAAGTAGGTAAGTAGGTAAGTAGGTAAGTAGGTAAGTCAGTAAGTAAGTAAGTAAGTTTCCTTTTCTCAGTCTTGATTGGATAAAAATTTGAAAAATTTGTAACCAGTTGATGTTTGTTAATCGTTCAAATCTTTCAAATTCTTAAAGAACCAGAGCCAAACCAGAGCTGAAATTCGGTTCGAAAGCAAGAAGAAATCGCAGATTAAATTGTTTCTTTCAAAAATCTGCAATTCCCTAAACATTTCCTCGTCCATTTTTTCGTTTCTGAATTCAAAATTTCCGAAATATTCCCATTCTTAATAATTTTACTGAAAGAAAAACGTCAGAAACATGTTTTCGAAGTCTTTTTTTATCCCAAAACCTCCGTAAAAATCAATTTTTGCGTTTTTTTTGAAGAAATTAAATGAACACCGCTTTACTCCTTTCCCGCCTGTTCTCTCTTTCTCCCTTTGTTGTCCACTTTGCCAAAACAACCGAAATGCAAAAATTGGCGATAAGCAATCGCTGCAATGACTCCCAGCTTCTACCAATAAATCAAAAGTTTTCGGAAAAATTGACATTTTACCCAGAAAAACTGTCCAGCCTTGTTTCAGTCAAAAATGGAAAATTTTAAATTTGCATTTATTTTTGAATTTCTTTCGTTAATGTCTCTTGTGCCTTCCAGAATAGCCATTTTTTTAACAATTATAAAATTTGCATGTAAAATTTCCGTGAAAATACTATGAACAGAAAAAAGCACTTTTAAATAAATTTCAAATCTTCTGCTGGCTTAATATTCGTAGACCATTATCAAGTGTGCGTTCCAGCTAGCCCAAATTCCGGGACTAAAGACCCGGGGATGTCTGGGTGGGCCTGGGAATAGCCGGGGATCAATTGTTGTCCCCCCGTCCCCCTCGTCTCATCCTCCCATTGCGCCCCTTCCCCCCTTTCCATTCCTCATCGATACCCACAAGTGAACACCAGCGAAAAGGGCAAAAAGAGACCACCAATGTCTTTGCTGGATAGCACGAGGCCCAAGTGGAATGAGAAAGAAATGAAAAGCAGCGTTGGTCCCAAGTTTTCACTAAAAGTCGATCCAGCTCTGACACCCCTTCACCAAAATCAAAAAATCCCTATTTTTTTGTGTTAGAATTGTCTTGTGCATTCCAATTTGTTATTTGATTTAAAATTTAAAACAAGAAAGTCCAATTTGGCCAAAATTTTGACTCAAAGTCGATCCAGCTCTGACACCCCTTCACCAAAACGAAAAATCCCTATTTTTTTGTGCTAGAATCGTTTTGTGCATTCCAGTTCACTATTTGTTTTTTAGAAATCTTCAAAAATCCAAATCTAGAATAGAAATTTAGTGATCAATGGAAATTGTGGCCACAATTTTTGTTGCTATTTTCCCCATCACAGATACCCTTTCAGAAAAGTCATTTCAGCCTTCAAGTGGCTTTTTTGTTTTCCTTTTTTCTCCTCATTTAGATCTAATATCGGTCGTTGGCCTTCTTTTTCCTCAATTTCCTCAATTTCTTAACTCAAATTGCTATTTTTGGAGTATTTTTGGAGTTCGAAGGGAAACAAAAAAAGGGAAATTTTTTTTTTAAATTTTAAAAAATTTAAAAATTTTTTAAAAAAAAAATAAAATTAAAGGGAAAAAAAAAGGAGGGGTTAATGGGAAAATTTGAAGAAAATAATAAATTAATAAAAAAATTAAAAAAATATAAAATATTTAAAAAATTTATAAAAAAATTATAAAAAATATTAAAAAAAAGATAAAGGGGGGGGATTTATTAAAAAAAAAAAAAAAATAGAGGAAAAAAAAGAAAAAAAGAGGGGGGAGAAAAAAAAAAAAAGGGGGAAGGTCAGTTGCCATAAAACTGAGGAAAACGGGATTACGAGTTCGTTTTGCGTTCTTTTCTTTAAGGATTCGAGAAGGGGAGCCTTATATACCAAGTTCCCTTTCGGTTCTGATTGGGTTCCCATTAAGTTCCTATTAGACTCCAATTTGGTTCCTTTTTGGTTCCCATTCGATTCCTAATGCTCTAGTTCGGTTCTAACTCAGTTCCCATTCAGCTCCCGTTCGGCTCTTTCGGTGTTGCCCTTCGGTTCCTATTGGGTTCTAATTTGGTTAGCATTCAGCTCCCGTTCGATTCACATCCGGTTTCTATTCGGTTCCAATTTAGTTCCTTTTTTGGTTCCCCATACGGTTCCAATTCGGTTCCTATTCGGCTCCCATTCGATTTCTAATTGGTTCCTATTCGTTTCCTTTTCGGCTGCCATTCGGTACCTAATCGGCTCCCATTCGCTTCCAATTCAGTTCCCATTCGCTTCCAATTCAGTTCCCATTCGCTTCCAATTCAGTTCCCATTCGGCTGCCCTTCGGCGGCTCTTCGGTTCCTGTTCGGCTCCCATTCGATTCCTAATCGGCTCCCATTCGATTCCTGTTCGGCTCCCATTCGATTCCTAATCGGCTCCCATTCGGTTCCAATACAGTTCCCATTCGGTTCCTTTTCGGCGGCCCTTCGGTTCCTATTCGGCTCCTATTCGGTTCCCATTCGGCGCCCATTCGGTTCCTAATCGGCTCCCATTCGGTTTCCATTCGGTTCCGATTCAGTTCCCATTCGGCTCCCATTCGGTTCCTTTTCGGCTGTCATTCGGTTCCTATTCGGCTCTAATTCGCATCCAATTCAGTTCCCATTCAGTTCCTATTCGATTCCTAATCGGCTCCCATTCGGTTCCTTTTCGGCTGCCATTCGGTTCCTATTCGGTTCCAATTTAGTTCCCATTGGCTCCCATTCGATTTCGAATCGGTTCCTATTCGGTTTCCATTCGGTTCCAATTTAGTTCCCATTGGGCTCCCATTCGATTCCTAATCGGCTCCCATTCGATTCCTAATCGGCTCCCATTCGATTCCTAATCGGCTCCCATTCGATTCCTAATCGGTTCCTATTCGATTCCTAATCGGCTCCCATTCGATTCCTAATCGGTTCCTATTCGGTTTCCATTGGGTTCCAATTCAGTTCCCATTCGATTCCTAATCGGCTCCCATTCGGTTCCTTTTCGGCGGTCATCCGGTTCCTATTCAGTTCCAATTTAGTTCCCATTCAGCTCCCATTCGGTTCTTTTTCGGCTCCCATTCGATTCCTATTCGGTTCCAATTTAGTTCGCATTCAGCTCCCATTCGGTTCTTTTTCGGTTCCCATTTTTTTCATTTTCAATTCAATCCTGAAACGCATATAGCGTTTAATTGCGATCCATTTCTGGTTATTGTGGAGAATTTGGGCTTAAAGCGGTGAATCGTTTGAAGCCATTCAGTTTAAAGCCAAGTTTTGTTTTAGTTCGCATTTTAGATCGTATTTTACATCAGCTTAGCCACTGTGCTATCCAGGATTTCATTTAAAATCCAAAATGCTTTAGTAGAATGAAAATAAAAGCGCAAATCTGTGTTAATCAAATACAAAAGTGCAGAAAGAGTCGAATTTGGCCTTTTCATTGCCATAAAACTGAGGAAAACGGGATTACGAATTCGTTTTGTGTTCTTTTCTTTACAAATTTGAAAAGGGAAGCCTTTTATACCAAATTCTAGAAGAACCGGCATTTCTTATCATCTTTAAAATTTCAAAATTGTGATTCAGTAAAGAAAAATTGATCAAATCACTCTTTTTGCCCATTTCTCGAATTTTATTTTTGCATTTTCGTGCAATTTTCTTTTCTGCTGACTTCCAAAAGAACAAATTTCGTTAAATATTTGAAAAACTAAAGAAATTACCTTTCGAAAATGACCTTTTATACCTCTTCCATCAATTTTACCATCTTGAAATTTTCTCCACTTGTAAACTTGGTCTTTTGCTCGATCTTCCCAATTTTCTTTACTCGATTTCAGAAAACTGGACATCACCCTAGCTTTTGGTGACTTTATTTGTGGCCCTATTGCCATTTGAAAATTTTCCTTGGGATGAGCTTCACCCAGCTCTCACTACCACATAACGACACCGTACCCGAGTTCGCCAAAAAGCGGAAAGACTCGAGATTTCAGGTTTTTGCTTGGGAAACTGACTCGAACGCGATTTTGGGGACTTATCTCGGCAGAAATACGTGAAACTTTTATAGCTGTCTTATTCAATCTGATTTTCGTGAGAAAAGCAAGTGTCATGCAACGAATTCGCCCAAACAAACTTTAAATTTGTCTGATCTGGATTTCACCTAAGATTTCCAGTGAACTAGATTTTTGAATTACGGGAAAATAAACTTTTGGGTTACGGTAGTTGGAGGTGTTGTTTAATAACAAGTGCCAGGCAATGAATTCACCCAAATAAACTTTAAATTTCTCTTATCTGGATGTCACATAAGATTTTTAGTGAAATAGTTTTTGAATTAGAGAAAAATAAATTTTCCGGGTAGGTAGTTGGAGGTGTTATTTAATAAAAAGTGCCACGTAACGAATTCATCGAAATAAACTTTAAATTTGCCTTACCTGGATGTCACGTAAGATTTCTAGTGAGACAGATTTTTAAATTACGGGAAGATAAATTTTTGGGGTACGGTAATTGAAGGTGTTGTTTAGCGTTTTACTGTAGTGTTTAGGTAGGTAGATAGAGCTTGGAAATTGTTGAATTTGTAAACTTTTTCCAAATTGATTCAATTTCAGGTGTCTTTGACAGCAAATGGAGGTGAAGATTCGGGCACTGAGGAGCTGCAAGATCATCAGGGAATCCGGAAGAATAAGAGTGTCTCCGAGCCACCACCGCCGATTCGATCGATCCAGGAAAGGAAAGCCAGCTCGACTGGGAGATTTGTGGTGAGTACAGAGTCCCTGTAGAAATGCTGGGAACTTTGATAGCTTTCTTTTTGATCTCTTTCTTCTTTGATAGCTTTCAATTTTGTTTCCCTGAGGAAAACAAGTGTCACGTCAAGAATTCACCGAAATAAGCTTTAAATTTCTCTTATCTGGATGTCACATAAGATTTTTAGTGAAATAGATTTTTGAATTAAAAGAAAATAAATTTTCGGGGTACGGTAGTTGAAGGTGTTGTTTAATAACAAGTGCCAGGGGACGAATTCACCCAAATAAACTTTAAATTTGTCTGATCTGGATGTCACAGAAGATTTTCAGTGAAATAGATTTTTGAATTACGGGAAATAAATTGTCAGGGTACGGTAGTTGGAGGTGTTGTTTAATAACAAGTGTCGCGTAACGAATTCATCCAAATAAACTTTAAATTTGTCTGATCTGGATGTCACAGAAGATTTTCAGTGAAATAGATTTTTGAATTAAAAGAAAATAAATTTTTGGGTTACGGTAATTGAACGCGTTGTTTAGCCTTTTTAGAATCTACCGTAATTTTCGTTTTACCAGTATCTTAAAAGTAAATTTCATTGTAAATCTGGATTTCATTGAGATTTTTAGGTAAACGGCGGCTCCGAAAGTCACTCGGATGGCAAGGACGAGTCGACGCCTGAGGACGACGAAGCGCCGGTGGGTTCTTGGATCGAAATTTCGGCAAGCTGCCAGGAAATCCATTTTCCCAAATTCCCACTCTTTGTCCTGGAGCACACGCTAGCCTTTAAAGCATTCAGAAAACGAAAGTCGCGAATTTTGGCTTCATCGATTGTAGCAAGCGCTTCTTGACCTGACCTGGTCTTGACTCGCACCAAAATTTCGCTAACTTTCCTGAAAATCTCTTTTCCCTGATTGATCATCCTGGAAGTCACGCTAGCCCACAAAACGATCAAGAATGCGAATGCGCAAAATTCGAGTTTATTGAGAAAACCTAGCTGACGGACTGGCACCGAAATTTTGCCGATTGGTCTTAAAAAAGTCATTTTCCTCGATCACATTGTTCATCCTGGAACTCACGCTAGCCCTCAAAACGATCAAAAATAAAAAAAGCACGAATTTTGAGCTTTCCAAGAAACTCGATTGTGCCAACTGGTTGATGATTATCAAAATTCCGTCAAAAAAATCACGTTTTTCATATTTTTGGCTTTCATCCTGGAACTCACGAAAAGCGTTAAAAGGACTAAAAACGGGAAATTGTGAAATTTGAGCCTATCGCAAAAATTTCCTCTTTTCTGGAAACGACTTGAGTAAAAGAAAGTTTTTCAGTTTTTCGGCTTCTTCTGTTTTTCGTTTTTTTCAATTTTTCAAATTTTAACTTCAAATGATTCAAAAATGTTAGAAAAATCAAATTTGAGTTTTTTTTTGATGAAAACCTTGATATTCAGCTGTCAATTTTCACCAGTCAGGTGATTTTTTGAAGAAATATTTAAAGAAAAGTAATTTTTATATAAAGCTGAGATCTTTTGCTAGAGTTCTTCTAGAGATTTTTCTTTCCGATCAAATCAGAATCCAGCTCGCTTTCCACCTCACCTAGCCTTTCCAGGACTTGATTTACAACCTGGTCGAGCTGGATTCCGATAGAATCAGAATCCAGCTAGCTTTCCACTTCACCTAGCCTTTCCAGGACTTGATTTACAACCTGGTCAAGCTGGATTCCGATCAAATCAGAATCCAGCTCGCTTTCCACCTCCCTTAACCTTTCCCGGACCTGATTTAGAACCTGGTCGAGCTGGATTCCGATCAAATCAGAATCCAGCTCGCTTTCCATCTTACCTAACCTTTCCCGGACTTGATTTAGAACCTGGTCTGGCTGGATTCCGATCAAAGCAGAATCCAGCTCGCTTTCCACCTCATCTAACCTTTCCCGGACCTGATTTAGAACCTGGTCGAGCTGGATTCCGATCAAATCAGAATCCAGCTCGACCCTGGCCTTAAGAATTAGGCAGCTCGACCAAGCCAGCTAACTCTTGCTTGGCTTCCCTTCCAACAAATCCATTTCAATTCTCGTTCAGGTGATGGGCATGCGTCGTGGCGTTCACTTTTCCGTCGGCGACAAAAACGACGAAAACCCGGACCACAAAATGACCACTCATGAAGAAAGAGAGGGACAGCACACATTCAATTTGAAGAGCTGGAGGTGAATAGAAAGTGGTGAAAAAGAGTTTGACGTTTAAGTTGGAACGCATAACAGGCTTTAAGCTCATCTAAATAGGGGCTTTCACCGAAGTTCTCACTTCCGGAATTTCAAGGTATCTTCTCGGAGCTGAAATTTCGAAATTTTAAATGAAATCTAGGGTTTTAAACGTATTTTCAGCGATCCTGGAAGTCATTCTAGGGTTTCTAATAGATTTGATCGCTTTCAGAATCAATTTCACAATTCCGGAATTTCAAGGTATCTTCTCGGAGACGAAATTTTGAAATTTCGAATGAAATCTAGGATTTTAAACGTATTTTCTGCGATCCTGGAAGTCATTCTAGGGTTTCTAATAGAATTTAATCAATTTCAGAAACATGAAAACGATCGAGCATCCACCGATCATCGATTTCTATCGGGACTCGATTGATGTCGTTGACGTGAATCGACCCTCGATGGCTCAGCTCATTCATGGTCAAAAAACGATCAATGAGGAGATTCTGGAAATCGACGAGTTCAGGGTTAGAGTTTCTTTGTTTTTCAATGGCTTTCTCACGTAGAGCATCTTTCCTAATTGTTTTCTAAATGTTGACCCAAGTACCGTAATCCTTTTGGCCTTCCAATTGAAATCCTAAAAATTTAAAGACATAAAAAGACGCTGTGACATCCAGAACATCCAGATTTGTCTTTGGAACTTGATGTACTTTGTGTTCGCAAGATTTTATGGAAGTAAACTCTTTCTGGTTCACTTAATTGACGGGATTACGGTATTTGAGTCAATATTGAAGGGTATTCTCTTAAAATAAAGAATGATTTGATAAAGGCTGCAAGGAGAATGTTGATTTTGGGAATTGAGTGGGTTAGGAAGGATGACGAAGATGATGAATGACGCTTTGTGACCAAGATCACTTTTTAAACCTCTACAAGAAGCGAAGACACCAAATTCCTTAGTGATCAACTTTTGATTTGAATTCCTTTTCAGGCTCAAGCTTACGATATGATTGATCAAGGTGGACCGCCACCAAAACCCGAGAAAATCGAGAAGTTAGCCCCGCCACCATCAGCGCCAAGGTATGATCGCTAGCTAGCAAAGCTAGTTAGCTTTGCTCGCTATTTGCTTAGGCTTAGGCTAGCTAGCTAGCTAGCAAACGCCAAGCAAATAAATTAGCTAGCTAGCAAACGCCAGGCTTATTCCCAAAATTTCAGCAAGTATAAATGAGCTTTATAATCTCTATTTTTAGCCGAAAAACACGGGGTTTTTGTTACAAAGAAGCTGTATTTCAAAAAAGAATTTCTTTTTTGGTGTCATCTTCTTGGCACTAACTAGAGAATGTTGTTAACTTATCTATCGTTATCTATCGTGGCTTTTGACTCGGTGAAATTGCCTATTTGATGCAGTTTTTCACGCTGATTCCGAATCAGCGCTCAGTTTTTGCCAAACGTTTCTATCGCGAGATATTCGGCATACAAGTTTTTGGGGGCCACCGCGGCCGTTGACTGAAGACAGCAAGCCCTCATAAAGTCTTCGATCGTCCGGAGCCCTCGATCGAGTATTTCTAGGCCGTAGAATCTAAGATTTGACATAACAGAGCTTATGAAAACAATTTTAAAGACAAAACGAATGGGTTGATGAATTGGTTTTTGAGAAATCATCGTGTAAACATGCAAACTGTTCGGAATAGGATGTGTCCATATCCCTTGGTTCAGGCAGAATATTTATTAAAGCACCGAAGGGTTTAAATACCGAAAAGTTGAACACGATGATTACACCTTTCGGAAGAAGTTCCGAACACAAACATTGTTTTTTCGCCGAAGAACTTTTCTTTCCAATCCAATCTAAAAGATACGCTCATTTTAGAACGAAATTCGGCTGGGTTGAGGGCGTTTTCGTGCGCTGTATTCTGAATATTTTCGGTGTCATGCTCTACTTGAGAATCTCGTGGGTGACCGGCCAAGCTGGAGTTTGTAAGGGGTTTTTGGTTGAAATGCTAAAAAGCTTTTCAATTTCAGTGCTCGGCATCGTCATCGTCCTTTTAGCCTCGATGGTCACGACGATTACCGCAATTTCGACGTGCGCCATTTGCACGAATGGCGAAGTGAAAGGAGGAGGCGCGTACTTTTTGGTAAAATTATTAGCGTAAAGAATTCGAGGGATTTCTCAGATCTCGCGCTCACTTGGCCCGGAATTTGGCGGCTCGATTGGGTTGATTTTTTGTGTCGCAAATGGGGTGAGAGGAAAAAAAAGCAAAAAAAAGCGAAAAAAAAAATCGAATTTTATTGAGATCACGGTTTTCAGGTAGCCGCCTCAATGTATGTTGTCGGTTTTGCTGAAACGATTCGGGATATGTTAGGTGAGTGATTTTTGAGTGATTTGATCATTTCAAATCGATATTCTCCTAATTCGGGCATTTTTTTTTGAAAATTCATTCAGATTCAGATTCAACTCCTTGAAAACCACAAATTTTCAGATAAAAAAGGCACTAGACTCCCTGAATTTCCCTTTTAATGACCCCCTAAGCGACGGGGTGCTAGAAAGCGCGCGATTACGTGCCCGCACAAAGTACATCGGTTGGAGAAAGGAGAAAATAGGGAGCTGGACGATTTTTGGGGTTATTTAATCGGGAATCTACAAATCCAATCTCATTTTTCGCGGATCTGGAACGCATTCAAGTGCCAGAAAGCGCGCGATTACGTGCCCGCACAAAGTACATCGGTTGGAGAAAGGAGAAAATAGGGAGCTGGACGATTTTTGGGGTTATTTAATCGGGAATCTACAAATCCAATCTCATTTTTCGCGGATCTGGAACGCATTTGACCGCTTTTTCGACTAAATTTTGTAATATTAAGAGATTTTGCGAATTGGCCGAATTCCATAAGGAGTTGGGTAGTTTTTGGCGTCTATTAGTCCAAAATTTAATAATTTAAATCTATTTCTTGCTAATCTGGAACGCATTCGATTGTTTTCCTAAATAAACTTGGTAATATCAAGGTCTTGAAAAAGATTAGAGTAAAAGGGTCAGCCGATTTTATAATACGCGTGTTGAAATCACATTCATTCAGCGAGATTCCCACTAGACACGTTGAAAACATCACACCCGCCTCTCCTTTCCCAATTCCCCCTTTTATTGACCCCCTCAGCGACGGGGTGCTAGAAAGCGCGCGATTACGTGCGCGCACAAAGCACATCGGTTGAAGGAAGGAGAAAATAGGGAGCTGGACGGTTTTTGGGGTTATTTAATTGGGAATTTACGAATCCAACCTGATTTTTTGCGAATCTGGAACGCATTTGACTGATTTTCGTTTCAGTTGAGATCTCCTATTCAAGCAATGAGACAAAGACGTTTCTCGTGGAGCATTTTGGGTGAGATTCATGGAAAATAAAGTCGATTCAGCTAAATGGCTTCATTTTGAAGCCAACTTCTACGCAAAAACTATGCTTTAACTTTACCGTTAACTGTTTAAATGTTTTCAGGCCAATCGAGGATGGATTACCGAATTTCGTTCGACTCATCGGAATTGGTGGGTTTTTTAAACAAGTTGATGAACTATTTTCAAGTATTTTCAAGTAAATCATAAATTTTAAAAACTTATCTACAAGTCCTGGAAGGCACAAAACATTTTGCAGAAAAGAGTTTGCAATTTTAAGGAAAATAGGAAAATTGAGTGGTGAAGCGTTTGACTTTAGCCCGTTTTCTCGGCGATTTTCCAGCTTTGACCCAATTTTGAGTCAATTTTTGGTAAAGCTGGATAGCACTAAGCAATTTTGGTTAAAAATTAAGCAAAGAATTAGCAATTAAATGTCCGCCGATTTCTTACCATAACCCCTAAAAGTCCGCCAATTTTCTACAGTAACCTCGTAAAATCAGAGCAGTTTTCAGGCCAAAAACCTATCGTAACCCACAATTTCTAGCGTCTTGCCTCCTCCTGCTGGCCATTGTCTTCATCGGCACGTCGTTTGAATCGAAAATGCAGATGGGCTTATTGGTGATTCTGCTCTCGTCGATTCTCGACTATTTTGCCGGTGTTTTGGTGAGTGAATGTTGTTTTTAGGAAAAGATTTCCTCAATCTGGAGCACAGGAGAGCTATTGTTTTCGTTTTTAAATCGAAATTCATCATTTAAACTTTTTCAGTTCCGTCCAATCAGTGATCATATGCACGTTCGTGGAGCGACCACTTTCAGTTGTGAGTGAAAGCTTTAAATCGAAATTTCTAGCATCAATTAGGCTCTAAACCACTGGCTGATTATCTAAGTTAATTATCTAAGTAATTTTACAGTAGTCTTACCGGTTTAATTACCCGAATCCAGTTCAAAAACCCGGTTCAATTACCCAGTTCAGTTTCAAAAGTTCGGCTACAGTATCCTAGCAAAATTCCCATGCAAAAAGCTACAGTATCTTAGCTACAGTTAGCAAAATTTCTGAATTCTTGCATTATTAATTCAGCAATCCTTTCAGGGAACACGTTGATGGCGAATCTGATGCCGAAATTCCGGAATGAAACCTTTTTCTCAGTGTTCTCCGTCTATTTCCCTGCCGCAACAGGCATCATGGCCGGCGCAAACATTTCTGGAGATCTAGCTGATCCGCAGGTTGGACAAAAAACTGGTATAATGCTCAGCAATGTTCCAGTTTGGCTCTAGACTTAGGCCCAAGCCTGGGCTAGATCCTTGCCAAAAGTCTTGAACCCAAGCCTGAGCTTGAGCTTAAGCCTGAGCCTGAGCCCAAGCTTGAGCTTGAGCTTAAGCCTGAGCTTGAGCTTAAGCCTGAGCCTGAGCCTAAGCCTGAGCCTAAGCCTGGGCCTAAGCCTGAGCCTAAACAAAGCCAAAAGCCAGCCTTGGACCCACAGGGACATACAGGGTGACTGGAAATAACCCAGACAACCTTTTTGACTCGATCTTTACATGCAAATGAACTAAATACTTTAAAAAATTGTCAATTATACACGCTTATTGGTTTTTCGTGTTTTTCTTAGCATCAATCCCTCCATTTTGACTATCATTCGATGCAAAATGCAAAATGATGCAAAAGGCAGAATTCCGCGTCGAATGATACCAAAATGAGCTCAAAATGTAGTATTCATGCAAAGTTATAAGGCAAAAGGTAAAGGGACACCCATAGTGGGCGGGGCTTAGGTTTTTCGTGTTTTTCTCAGCAAGAATTTATTTATTTTGTCTATCTTGGCTATCATTCGATGGAAAATGAAATTCCGCGTCGAATGATAGTTAAATTAGTTCAAAATGTAGTATCCACGCAAAGTTATTGGCTAAAAAAGCTAAGCCCCGCCCCCTTAACCTTTTGCCTTATAACTTTGCATGGATATCATATTTTGAGCTAATTTTGGTATCATTCGACGCGGAATTTTATTCTACATAAAATGATAGTCAATATAGTCAAAATGGAAGGATTGATGCTAAGACAAATCCAAAAAACCCGCCCACTATGGGTGTCCCTTTACCTTTTGCCTTATAACTTTGCATGGATGCTACATTTTGAGTTCATTTTGGTATCATTCGATGTAGAATGAAATTCCGCGTCGAATGATAGTCAATATGGTCAAAATGGAAGGATTGATGCTAAGAAAAACACGAAAAACTTTAAACTGCCAACAGCAAAAAAAGGAAAGACAGATCTTAAAAAGATTATTTGTTTAAGAGGTCATAGAATCACTTTCTAAAGCCCGAACCACTTACCGTACCCGATTTTACTCGATTCCAGGGCGCGATCCCCCTCGGCACCCTTCTTGCCATCCTTTTCACCACAATTATCTACCTCGTAGTCGTCATTTTCACTGGCATCACGAATGTTAGGCAAGTTTATATGTAAATCTCGAATTCTAGATCGCTTCAGAGATGCTGACGGCCTGCTTGCTCCATTATTCGACGCGGCTGGCGAGTTTATCGCCCCAAATTGCACTCAATCCGCTGAAGGTTGTCGCTACGGGTTGATGAACTATTATCAAGTAAATCATAAATTTTAAAAACGATTTTACAAGTTCTGGAAGGCACACAACATTTTGCAGAAAAGAGTTTGCAATTTTAAGGAAAATAGGAAAATCGAGTAATGAAGCGTTTGACTTTAGCCCGTTTTCTCGGTGATTTTCCAGCTTTGCCCCAATTTTGAGTTAATTTTTGGCAAAGCTGGATAGCATTAAGGAATTTTGGAACATTTTCGAGCTTTCAGGTCGTCGAAAAAAATCGAGTGAGCGTTTGACTTTAGCCCGTTTTCTCGGTGATTTTCCAGCTTGCGCCAATTTTGAGTTAATTTTTGGCAAAGCTGGATAGCATTAAGGAATTTTGGAATATTTTCGAGCTTTCAGGTCGTCGAAAAAAAAATCGAGTAATGAAGCGTTTGACTTTAGCCCGTTTTCTCGGTGATTTTCCAGCTTTGCCCCAATTTTGAGTTAATTTTTGGCAAAGCTGGATAGCATTAAGGAATTTTGGAATATTTTCGAGCAATTTTGGAATATTTTCAGGTCGTCGAAATGGGGTCGATGTGGGGGCCGCTGATCACCGCCGGCATCTTCGCGGCCACACTCTCCAGCGCCCTAGCCAGTTTGGTCTCGGCACCGAAAGTCTTTCAGGTAGTCTTTCTTTCAGGTTTGAGGCGAAATTTTTTAGCATTTTTGTGTAATGGCTTAAGGATACAGTAAAAGTTAAAGTAAAACAAGTAAAAAAAATATTTTGCACTCGATGAGCCATCCATTTTCGTGAATTAAATCGTGGATCAAATTAAATCGCGAATTAAATTAAATCTAGTTATAAGGGTGAAATTTTAAGTTATTCAAGATAGAGAAAACGATGGTGTTATCAAAATCTAACAGAAGTTTTCCGATTCCGATTTTTGGGGATGGCTTTATCTTTTTGAAACGCGATTTAGTTAGCATCTTATTGAATCAGCTACAGTACCCAAGAGTTGGCTTATTCAAGAATAAGCATACACTGCATTTATTTATGCCGAACAACAGCCTAAACAAAGCTTTGGTAAAGTGCTGAGAGTTTTTGCGACTGATTTTTATTCGATTCCTTATTCAAGAAAAAGCATAAGCTGCAAGTATCGGTACAAATCAGCTAGATCATTCTGAAACGTGATGTATTGGGTTTGAATGAATTGAATTGGTGAATTGAAAACCGCCGGACTTTGAACTAAAATTTATTCAACATAAAACCATCAATTCATTCCAAATTATCTCCATTATTATTGACGACTTCTGCCCATTTTACAGGCAATTTGCGGATTCCTCTTTCTGGGTAGGATTTTGGTTTGTGTGTGGGACAAGTGTGAGACTCAAAAATGGAGGACTGGAGATATCCCAGGTTTGAGCACTTTCTTCAAAAGAAACCCATCTTGGTGTCAATAGAAAAGTTGTAGAGAATGAAAAATTAGGCTTATAGCTAAATTTCCAAAAAGATATACTTAGTAGTTTCGCTTAAAATGCAAGTTTTATGAAATTTTCGTAAATTTGGCATTTCTTGAAAACCAGTTTCTGAATCGTTCTGAAAATTTGGATATAAGCTTGATTTTTGATTCTCTACAACTTTTCCATTTACACCAAGATGAATTTCTTTTGAAGGAAGTGCTTAAACTGTCACATATAACAAATGACAATAGCCCGCAGTTTTCAATTCACCAATCCAATAGTTAGCATCTTATTGAATCAGTTACAGTACCCAAGAGTTGGCTTATTCAAGAAAAAACATAAGCTACAGTACCCTACAGGGTCAGCTATCAAACTAGAGTATTTTAGTGCTTTTCCAGGACATTCAAATCAAGTGTAGGCGAATTCTCAAAGTACAATAGTACATAGTACAATACTCTTAAACTACAGTAGCTGATTTGTACCGGTACTGGGATTTACAAATCACTAAACTTCTTTCCAGTTTTTTAAATGTAAACCTTATTCAGGCAGTGTGCAAGGATCGCCTTTTTCCGAAAATCGACTTTTTCGCTAAAGGCTATGGGAAAGATGATGAGCCGAGACGAGCCTACGCGCTCGTGGGAATTCTCGCGTTGGCTGTGATCATGATTGGTTTGTATCTACGATTTTATTACTTAATTCTAAAACACTCGTGTGCTTGTATTGGTTCAATCACCCAGCAATTTCTTGATTGATCGTTGACGCTGATCATGATAAGAAATTGAAAAGTTCTCTCACCGGTTTAAATATACAAACCTATTGTGAATCGAGCTGCCGTAGGCTCGAACTTGTGCATTATAAATGAAACTTTAAAGAACTTAAAAGAACTTTAAAAACTACTCTAGAAGATCAAGAACAAAGTGCATCAGAATAGTTTTTGGCTAGACACCGGTTTAAATATCTTTTGGTTGGCTGATATCTAATACGGTTCCAGTACGGTTCCAATACGGTTCCTACTTTGATCTAATACGGTTCCAGTACGGTTCCAATACTGTTCCAATACGGTTCCTATTTTAATCTAATAGGGTTCCAATACGGTTCCAATACGGTTCCTATTTTGATCTAATACTGTTCCAATACGGTTCTTTTCTTGATCTAATACGGTTCCAATACGGTTCCAATACGGTTCCTACTTTGATCTAATACGGTTCCAATACGGTTCTTTTCTTGATCTAATATGGTTCCAATACGGTTCCAATACGGTTCCTACTTTGATCTAATACGGTTCCAGTACGGTTCCAATACGGTTCCTATTTTGATCTAATACTGTTCCAATACGGTTCTTTTCTTGATCTAATACGGTTCCAGTACGGTTCCAATACGGTTCCTATTTTGATCTAATACTGTTCCAATACGGTTCTTTTCTTGATCTAATACGGTTCCAATACGGTTCCAATTACTCAATCTTTTAGGTGACCTAAACGCCATTGCGCCGATCATCTCGAACTTTTTCCTTGCCTCGTACGCGCTGCTCAACTACGCCTGCTTTGATGCCTCGTTCGCCGATTCGCCAGGTTTACTTCTTACAATTTTGATTTGTATGAATTTAATTACCCAAATACAGTCGACGCTGATAGTAAATCATTCGGAAACTCCCGACAAAAGCGCTTAAGAAAATAAAAGGGCAAAAAACTCGATAGTAAGTAACTCGATAGTAAATCACGCTCGATAGCTAATCATTTTTGGAGAAACCCTTTGGAGCTAATCATTGGAGAATCCAATTTACTATCGAGCGTCGACTGTAATCTCCAATTTCTCACTGTTTTCAATAAATTGCTTTTAATAGCTCATTTTAATAAAAAGCTCATTTTACCGCTTTACCGGTTCAATTACCCAATTGCACAAGGGATAAAACTCATCCTGATCCAACCAATTGATTATCTAGATTACCTAAGCACTCGTACATGTACATGAGTACATAGATAGTTAAACCAAAAAAGACCAAACCAAAAAACCAAACCAAAAACTTGGGCTCAATGATCTTTACTAGCTTACTAGCGAAAATCGTTACCACTGCAATCTTTAACAAAAAATGTAGTGAAATCGAGATTCTAACAAATTTATCCTAAATCCTGGAGCGCACAAGAGATTTTCGCTGCTACAAAAAATCTAAATCTCAACTTTGAGAAAAAGTGAAAATTGTTACCGTTACCACAGCGATTTTTAGCCTAAAATGTGATAAAATCGAGATTCTAACAAATTTATCCTAAATCCTGGAGGGCACAAGAGATTTTGGCAGCTACAAAAAATCTAAATCTCAACTTTGAGAAAAAGTGAAAATTGTTATCGTTACCACAGCGATTTCTGATCAAAAATGTGATAAAATCGAGATTCTAACAAATTTATCCTGGATCCTGGAGCGCACAGAAAACTTTGGCAGCTACAAAAAATCTAAATCTCAACTTTGAGAAAAAGTGAAAAGCGTTACTGTTACCACAGCGATTTCTGATCGAAAATGTGATAAAATCGAGATTCTAATAAATTTATCCTGGATCCTGGAGCGCACAGAAAGCCTTGGCAGCTACAAAAATTACCTACAGCACAAACCGATTTCATCGCCCAACCATATTTTCCTTTCCAGGTTTCCGTCCCGGCTTCAAGTACTATAGCATGTGGATTTCGTTAGCCGGCTCGATTCTCTGCATTTGCGTCATGTTTCTCGTGAGCTGGTTTGTTCTTAGCCGGTTCGATTACCCAATCTCCACCTCTAGGGCAACCGCTCTGCTCACCTTTTTCTTCTTCGCCATCCTCTTTTTATATCTATTGCATCGAAAACCGGGTAAATTTTGAGAAAATCAGATTTTAGCTGATTTAAACCAAATTCTGGAGCGCACTTTTGCTTTTGGAAATGGAGAATTTCGGTTTTACGAATTTTGTTCATTTTGAGAAAAACGAAAATCGTTACCACAGAGATTTTTGGCCAAAAATGTGATGAAATCGAAATTCTAACAAATCTATTCTGGATTCTGGAGGGCACAAGAGACTTTGAGAGCTAGAGCTAAAGCTAGAGAAAAGCTAAATTTTCAGATGTGAATTGGGGCAGCTCTACCCAGGCGCATTCCTACAAAAACGCGCTTTCGTCAATGGTGAAATTGGTGAATACGGAGGAACACGTGAAAAATTATCGGTAAAGGAGAAATTTTTGAGGATTTTATTAGATTTTCTAGGCTTTTCTAAGCTAGATTCTAGGTTTGTCGAAGGCTTTTCTAAGCTAGATTCTAGGCTTTCAAGGATTTCTAGGATTTCTAGGCTTTACAAAAACAAAACAACTCTTGCCCGTTATTCGGGGGTTTTTTTCTCTCGTTTCTTGCTCCTAAAGCTCCAGAACTTTCTTTAGAGACAATATTATTTCTTCTTTTTATTTAGTTTTAAAGAGGAGACTTTAGGCTTTAAAATAAATTAAAATAAAGCCTAATTCGACTAAAGAAATCTAAAAGAATCGAGGAAAAAAAACACAAGTCAAAAAAGCTCAAATCGGATTCACAAAACTCTCAAATCCAAGCCACGACCTATAAAATGGCGCCACACCAAACGGGAACAAGAGCAGCGGTGGTCTAGGGGATAGTGTGCTAGATTCTAAAACGAGCGGCATTTTTCCTGGCGGGTTCAATTCCGCTTGCCGCCAAATTAGTTTTCGGAAGTTTTCCAAAAAGTAGAGAATTTGGGGGCAAACGGAATTGAACCCGCGAGAAAAAATCGGATCGGTTTTACAGCCTAGCACACTATCCACTAGACCACCGCTGTTCTTGAGATCGTTCGGCTTAAAGTCCTCTTAAAGGGTGAGGTCGTGGTTTGGACCCGAAAACTAAGGCTCATTACTCACCGCTCCTTTCCCTTTGCAGATTTTACGAGGAAAACCTTTTATACGAAACGGGTATACCAGATGGACAGCGATTGTGCGCACACACAGAGAACACAAAGCTATTTCCTTCTTTTGCTTTGTAGATAGCATAAAAAGAAGCTATGGCATGAAAATTTGTGCCCGGGGGTTTTCGGGGACGGTGAATCGATTGGAGCCATTCATTTTATGCGCAAGTAGCTTTTTTTGCGTCTAAATAATGTTATGGTATTTTGAAGCGCGACTTTTCATTTAAAAACCTCTAATAGCTTTTCTTTAGGCCGCAACTTCTTGTTTTGACTGGAAATCCGGCGGCAAGACCGTCACTCGTTGATTTTGTTGAGAATATCACGAAAGGGACAAGCCTAATGGTTTGTGGATATGTGGTGCCGGTGAGTGACTTTCCTTTTAAGCTAAATAGCTTCTTTAAGCCAAATAGCTTCTTTAAGTCTTTTGATTCGTCTTTCGTCTTTAATTCGTCTTTAATTCGTCTTTAATTCGGCTTTAATTCGTCTTTAATTCGGCTTTAATTCTTGAATTCTTGAATTTCCTATTTCTTTACAGTACGCACCATGTGATCGCGTCTATTCAGTGCTTCGGAAACTCGATCGTCAACTAAACGATTGGTTGAAGAAGAAAAAAGTGAAAGGTAAAGCGATTGCCGAAACAGATTTATTCAAAATTATCACAAAAGTCAAATAAACGCCAAAGCTTTTGAGCTTTTGACTTAACGACTTTTAAAATTGACTTTAACAACTGGAAAAGGAAAAGTAACAGCGAAAGAAAAAGATAACAGAGAAAGAGTCTTTCGGTCACTAGGAACGAGTCGTCTGATCGACTGGAACAAGTCGTTCAGTCACTAGGAAAGACTCGTCCGATCGCCTTGACTTCAAGATCAAAATCACCATGATTGAAGCGTTTGAACCGATCGTCCCTCGATCGCACCAGTTTTGTCAACAGTTCCTTTGCTTTGATCTTGAATCTGGCAGAAACCTCAGAAATCTTGCAGCAGATCGGCTTCAGCAACAGCGCAGACAGACCTTTTTTCTAATAGTAACCGAACAAAACAAGCAAAACAAAATAAGCAAAGTTCACTTTTATTTATCTAAAGATGTGGAATGTGTAAAGTAAGTTATAAGAAAATACTCGAAAGAAAGCAGATCGAAAGCAGGCTTTCAAACGAGCCAAAAATCATCACAATCCATTGAACAATGGATCAAACTAATCGAACGATTAGATAATAAACTTTTTAACAATCTGGTATATTTCCTATCGGCTATGCTTTCAGCTTTCTACACGTCGATTGCCAGCCCGTCGCTTAGAGATGGAGTACGATCGTTGTACCAAGTAAATAAACTTATAAAGACATCAAGACATCTAGAAATCAAGAAATCTAGAAATCTAGAAATCTAGAAATCAAGAAATCAAGAAATCAAGAAATCTAAAAATCAAGAAATCAAGAAATCAAGAAATCTAAAAATCTAGACATCAAGAAATCTAGAAATCTAGAAATCAAGAAATCTAGAAATCAAGAAATCTAGAAATCTAGAAATCTAGAAATCTAGAAATCTAGAAATCAAGAAATCTAGAAATCTAAAAAACCCATTTTAGACAGCTGGTTTGGGCCGTTTACGTCCGAACATTGTCATCCTTGGCTTCAAAGCGAATTGGGCGTCAAAAATCGACTCGATGTCACAGAAAATCCATGAGATTAATGACTATTTTGGGGTGATACAGTAAGCAATCCTTTTTGAGCCTGCTTCTTGAAATTATCTGCTTTCCAGAGACGCTTTTGATTGTCATATGGGTGTTGGCGTTCTCCGAAATCCGGGTTTCGGTCTCGATTTCTCGGAAAACATGAAAATCCTCAATCCACCGAAATTTGAAGAAAAAGATGGGAAAAAGAAAGAAAAAGAGAACAACAACGGGAAAGATAGGTGAGAAAAGAGGCAATAGAAATAGAAATAGAAATAGAAATAGAAATTGGGAATTAAATTTAATGACAAGAAAATGGCAATGGAAATGGCTTGAATTGAATTTGAAAAGAAATCCCTGAATTTTCTTGAGCAATTAATTGAAAATTAGCTAATATCAGCTGAAAATCAGCTAAAAGTGAGAAATCAAAACATTTTTGATGCCTTTTCAGCTTCTCGAAGCTCATCGACGCTGAAACACCGCGCTCCCCGTCCGCCACCGCCTTTGACACCCATCGGAGTGAAAGCGATGTGAAGATCAATATCGAGTTCGTTTAAAAGCACATAGAAATCAAAATAAAGTGACCTGTGACAGTTGTGACATCCAATTTTAGCATTGATCCAAAAAGTGATGACCCTTGCGATCAGGAACACGAGGAAATCGTCGATCACCCTGACGACACCAACTGTGAGATTTACAAAATTTTACAAAACATTAAACTTTTTAGAGGTCTAACTGTTCTGATATCCAGATAGATGAGATTTGAGAAAATTTTTGGATTTGCTTAAAAACTAGGGCAGAAAAACTCGTGAACTCTGACGCCTTTGAGATTGAGACTTGCAAAATTTAACAAAATATCAAACTTTTTAGAGGTCTAGCTGTTCTGATATCCAGATAGATAAGATTTAAGGAAATTTTTGAATTTGCTGAAAAATTGAGGCAGAAAAACTCGTGAACTCTGACGTGTTCGAGATTAAGATTTACAAAATTTAACAAAATATCAAACTTTTTAGAGATCTAGCTGTTCTGATATCCAGATAGATGAGATTTAAGGAAATTTTTGAATTTGCTTAAAAATTAAGGCAGAAAAACTCGTGAACTCTGAGGTGTTCGAGATTGAGATTTCCAAAATTTAACAAAACATCAAACTTTTTACATTTCCAGTTGTCCTGATATCCAGATAGATGAAATTTCAGGAAATTTTTGAATTTGCTTAAAAATTGAGGCAGAAAAACTCGTGAACTCTGACGTATTCGAAAATTTAAACAACTGCTTTCTAAAAAGTGATTCTTTTACCATAGTATTGTAACTAGAGCACTGTAACTAAAGTACTGTAGCTTCTAAAGAGTTATTTTACAAGCTTTTCACATTTTTTTCACGTTCCAGCTACCCTCTTGCGCGCATCGCAGAGGTCGCGTAGCGCTCGCTCGATGGATAGATTTTACAAAACCCATCAAAAAATTGTCGAGGGTCGGTGGGAATCAGTGGAAAATGTGTAGTGACATCCAGGATTTATTTTTGATGTTGTGAGATTGTCGAGAATTGTAGTGGTTTTGTGGAAAAGCCTCGCACTCTTTCTCTCTACAGTAACCCCTCTTCCAAACTGGCTTGGCTAGCCAAATCTATTAAGCAAAACGCCTTGTGATGTCCAGAATTAATCGATTCGGTCCAAGATCTAATGAATTCCAAAATTAAACTAGTCTTTTCCTTTAGAAAGCGCTCCGACTACCGTAACCCTTTCCCCAAAGTGTCTCAGATGAGCTTATTTTCTATGAAAAGCTATAGCCTGATATCCAGATTGAATGCCTATTCGGTGGAATTCTAAAAAACAGCACTAGTTTTCATTGTAGTCGGTTGATCTCTTTTTCCTTTTATTATGTCGTCAAAAAGTCATTTCAGTGATTCGTGAAGCACAGAATTCTAAAAAGAAAAACATTTCTTAGCAAATTATTTCCAGCTTCTGGCTCGTTTGCCGAGAATTTCCCATTCGATTTCGATTTGGATGTGAGTTCTGGATATTTTTGATTATTCTTTATGGATTTTAGGATTCTGAAGACGACGTGGAACAGAGGGATTCCGATGATGAGCACGAGCAATTGAATGAGCAACAGAATAGGTAGTTTTAGATTTATAGAGGTTTAGGGATACTGTAGCTCTAGTACTGTAGCTCTAGTACTGTATCTCTAGTACTGTAGCTCTAGTACTGTAGCTCTAGTACTGTATCTCTAGTACTGTAGCTCTAGTACTGTAGCTCTAGTACTGTATCTCTAGTACTGTACTGTAGCTCTAGGCCAGCAAATCTGACTTTAATATTGCCAGAGAATTGTCAATGATTCCAATTGTCAAAGATTCCAATTATCAAGGATTCTTATTGTCAAGGATTTCAATTGTCCAGGTTTCCAATTTTCAAGGTTACCAATTGTCAATGGTTCTAATTGTCAAGGATTCCAATTGTCAATGATTCCAATTGTCAAGGATTCCAATTGTCAATGATTCCAATTGTCAATGATTCCAATTGTCAAGGATTTCAATTGTCCAGGATTCCAATTGTCAATGATTCCAATTATCAATGATTCCAATTGTCAAGGATTCCAATTGTCCAGGATTCCAATTGTCCAGGATTCCAATTGTCAAGGTTTCCAATTGTCAAGGATTTCAATTGTCAAGGATTCCAATTCTCCAGGATTCCAATTCTCCAGGATTCTAATTGTCCAGAATTCCAATTGTCAAGATTTCCAATTGTCAAGAAATATTAGACAAAAGAGGCCCTTTTTCTGTGCTTTTAGACAATCCAGACAATCCATCCACAACTCCGAAAAAAGATCTTTCAAGTGAAAGAAAGGAAAGGAATTGTAGTAGTCCAGGAATCCCAGTTTAAAACAGGATCCATCCACGCTAGAGTCCTATTACTTTGACCAGAGTTCAACGTTGTTTTCCAGAGCACATCGCACCAAAGATGACGTGGAGCGCGGCGAGCAAACGCTAAGAGAAGTGCGGAACACGTTGTCGATGCGGAGGAGGGGGTGAGTGAAATATTTTTCATTTTTCTCAGAAATCAATGACCAAAGAGATCAGAGATCAAAATCACTTTCCCCTTCCAAATTAGCCTTTGAATCCCACTTCATTGAATTTTAGCCTGTTTTACCTAACTAGGGAACGTCGCCAGGTGTCTCTGAGCTTTTAAAACGAGATCAGCTCCACCTTTTTCTGATTCTGAATCTGTTTTCTGATTCCTAATCTGTTTTCTGATTCTAAATCTGTTTCCAGTTTTCCTTTGAGGCCTGTAAATCAACGTAAATCAACGCAAATCAGCTTAAACCAGCCTAGTCATCATTTTCTGGCTGGATATCTGAGACAAGGCCTCTCTACTTGAGTTCATTTTTTGCAACAAAGCCAATTAGCGACTAGTCAACTTCAATTTTTGTAACGAAGCCAATTTGATTGAAAGCCTTTAACGTGTAAACCTGTAAAACTTGTTAGATTAAAAAACCAAAAGAATGGTGAGAAGGGGATCGAACCAAGCCCCTAGTGAGCAGCTTTAAGCTGGTTCCCAAAGCATTCCCAAAGCGTTCCCAAAGCGTCCCCAAAGCGTCCCCAAAGCGTTCCCAAAGCGTTCCCAAAGTGAAATTTCGACCATTTATTTCGACCAATACCAGCGCTGTAAAATCCTTTGCTAGCTGTTCTGCTATCATAATAGAGCTAGATTTTGGTCTTGAAAAAAAGAACAACAAATAAAGAACAACAAATAAAGAACAACAAATAAAGAACAACAAATAAAGAACAAGAAATTAAGTCCCAAAAAGCCGCGTATCTCGATGGCGGAGCTGAAGCGCATCTCGTTGTCAGCTGAAGAGACTTTGTAAGCAAAAAAATGCAAATATTTTCGTTGTATCGTTTTGTTGAGCATGTTTTATTGGCTGTAGATTTGGTTTTCGCGTAGTTTCATTAAGGAATACGGTAGTTTATCCACTAAATCATTTTCAGGAGTCGTCGAGCAACCGTCGAGCAAAAAGCTCTCCTCTCCTCGATCTCTAGATTTAATAGAAAGGTGAGATCTTTGAAAAATTGAATTTTTTAGGATTAACTTCTTTTTGACTTCTTTTTACATTTCCAGTTGTCCTGATATCCAGATAGATGAGATTTAAGGAAATTTTTGAATTTGCTTAAAAATTAAGGCAGAAAAACTCGTGAACTCTGACGTGTTCGAGATTAAGATTTGCAAAATTTAAAAAAACATCAAACTTTTCACATTTCCAGTTGTCCTGATATCCAGATAGATTAGATTTCAGAAAATTTTTGAATTTGCTTAAAAACTAGGGCAGAAAAACGCGTGAACTCTGACGTGTTCGAGATTGAGATTTGCAAAATTTAAAAAAACATCAAACTTTTTACATTTCCAGTTATCCTGATATCCAGATAGATTAGATTTCAGAAAATTTTGAAATTTAGTGAAAAATTAGGGCAGAAAAACGCGTGAACTCTCACGTTCTGACTACTCTGACAAAATTTGAACAATTAATCTCTATAAAGTGAATAATTCTCATTAGTCAAGCATTTCGGCATCTGGTAATACATCAGATGACTTGCTTGGACACCGTGCTCGCCATAATTTCACAAAACCCAGGTCCGCCGCGGCGTGATCGACGTTTGGTGGCTGTACGACGATGGAGGACTCACGCTGCTCGTGCCCCACCTCTTGACCATTCCCAAATCGTATCTCGAGGTGGTAAATCGATGGCCTGCCTTTCAGGATCAGCCATTAAACCTAGCAAATTCTGCTTTAGGGCGCAAAATTGCGGGTGTTCTCGATTTCGACGTCATCGCGCACGATGGAGGCCGAACAGCGCGGCATGGTGGCATTGCTGACGAAATTTCGGTGATTTTGCGAATCCTGGATGTCACCGAATCATTTGGCTTTTTCAGAATCGATTTCTCGGATGTTTCGGTGATCGCGGACGTTGGTCGGAAACCGAAAGCGGAAACGATCGCCGCTTGGGAAAGACTGATCACGCCTTTTGTTGTGCCCGATGGGGACGAGAATTCGGAGGTACAGAGTGCAAAAGAAGGCACATTCCAAGGAATGATCAAAAAAAACATTCCAGGGAATGATCACTGAATCAGAGCTGAGCTCACAACGGGAGAAGACTTGCCGTCAGCTGCGTATCGGCGAGCTCCTGCAAGAGCACTCAAAAGAGGCCGATCTGGTCGTGATGTGAGTTTGAATTGGCTAGAAATTGGCTATTAGCTAGAATGTTGAAATTGGCAGATGCAGGAATTGGCCGGAAGGTAAAGGTGAATATGTGGTTGTAGATTGAACCGGATACTTTAATTCAGCCCAATTTTTTAACTTAGAAACCAAAAATTAAAAATTTGGCGCCAACCGGAATCGAACCTGCGGGGAAAAGCCAGTGCCGGTCTTAGAAACTAACACACTATCCCCTAGACCACCGCTGCCCTAAAAGTCGCTGGCCCAGGAGCCATGTTATAGGTGGCGGTTTCCCAAAAAATAGCTAAAACAGCGCTAACTGGAATCGAACCCGGGAAGAAAACTCTGCGTTAGTTTTAGAAACTAGCACACTATCCCCTAGGCCACCAGTGCTCTGGCCAACGCTTGGTGAGGTCTCTTATAGACCAGGTTTGTCAAAAATTGCTGAAACTCGATTTTCTCTTTACCCGTTAGCTTCACCCATTATTCCAGCTTCTTCCTAAAGAAAACTTCCTTTTTCCCATTTCCATTCGCCAAACTGGAACGCACAAGAGCTATTCAACAAAAAATTTGGGGAAAATTGGGCAATTTTTGAAAAAAGCAACTTTCGACTTTGGACTTTGACGCTTTTTATCTGCTGAAATGGAAATTTAGAAAAAGTTAAAGCTTTCAAAGTAAATCCTGGAAGGCACAACGGGTTTTAAAAATTGATTTCCGAGAAAAAAGCGATTTTGATGACTTGTTGGAATTTCCTCTCGTGGAGGTAAAAAAATCCCATTTCCAGGACGCTGCCAGTTCCTCGAAAGGGTCTCGTCTCGGCTCCGCTCTATCTTTCTTGGTTGGACATTATGACCAGAGGCTTACCGCCAACGCTGATGATCCGCGGAAATCAGCAATCCGTTTTGACGTTCTACTCGTAGCTTTTAGGTTACTGTAACTGTCAACTACCGTACTTTTCTCCCGGCTTTAAGCGCCTATCAGGCTATCATATAGTCATTTAACAAGACATAATGTAGCTACAGTACCCCTGTGGATCCCAGATTACCCATTCAACTGCATTTTTTGTGATGAACTCATTGCGGATCGGCATTTACACGAGTCTCGCCTCTTTTTACACCCAGAATCGCAAATTTCTAGATTATTTTTGAGTTTTCGCGAGTTCTGGATGTCATTTTATAATTTGAATAGATTTATTTTAAGAATTAAGCATTTTAGAGTAACCCTATAAGGCTGAACTCTATAAGGCGCTCAAAGCTACCGTAAGCCATCCTTTAAAAGATATTTTTCGCCTTTTCACCGAACCTGGAGCGCACTTGATCGATTAAACACGATAAACGACCATTTAAGACCTTTTCGACAGTACTCTCTAAACAGTGCCCCAACTACCGTAACCCAAATTTTCAAATAGCTGTTTTTCGAAAAAATTCTTTACTCATTATCCAAAGTGACATCCAGAATTCGCAAATTTTTTGGTTTCGGTGATTTTTCTCTAATTTTAGTCATGTAAATCGACGGGATCTTGAAATTTCCCCTTTTCTTACTCGAATTCATGAAATTTCTCCTTTCAAATCGTGCATTTCACTTAAAATTTCCCTTTCTTCTCTCAATTTTTCGATTTTCTGACCAAATTTTAAATGGGTTTTTTATTTTTTGAGGATTTATACATGTTTTCACAGTCTGGCGATAAATAGAAATTGTGATTTCGTAAAAAAAAAACCCCTAGAGTGCCTTTAAGTTAAAGAATTTGGTGAATAAATGGATTGAAATGGATTGAAATGGATTGAAATGGATTGAAATGGATTGAAATGGATTCAAATGGATTCAAATGGATTCAAATGGATTGAAATGGATTCAAATGGATTCAAATGGATCCAAATGGATTCAAATGGATTCAAATGGATCCAAATGGATTCAAATGGATTCAAATGAATCGAAATCAATCGAAATGAATGGATTGACAGCTAGAATCGTTTTAAAAAGAAAGCACAATCTAGAAAAACAAAAGCTGAACAATTTCTCTTTCAAAGCATTTGACTTTTGAGCTTCTCGGCAAGCGTTTTTCGCGCTTTGATCACATCCTCATCAATCTGGAAATGAAAAATTTTATATACGAAATGATAAGAGAGATTTATTTAGCTTCAGGGTCCTGTACAGGATGGCGCAAGATTATGGCGACACCTTTTTTTGCTTTGTTGTTGGAAATGTTGCTAGCAAATGCTTGACTTATCCCCAAAACGCCAAGTGTTATATGGAAAAAGAAAGTCCTTTCTTTTGGCACGATTTAGCTACAAAAAACTTCTCGATTGGAGTTATACAACTTATTTTACAGGCTCTCGAATGAGCTCAAGTCGGTCTCTCTCCAGCAATTTTCCATTTTTGACACTTTTCTTAACAAAAAAAACCATTTTTCAAAGTTTTCTCCATATTTATTTCTCCAAAAATAAGATTTAATATCATTTAATAGCAATAAGAATAAAAGCAAAGTCTTTTATAAAACTTTCATAGCTAAAATTCGAATTGATTTCTGGGTTATTTGGAAACTCTGCAAAACAATGAAACTTTGGCCTTTTTGAATATTTGACAAAAAGATCTTGTTTTATAAGCTTCATAGCTTTATATTTTTGTTCAATAATACAATTAAAGTAAAATCCCAGCAGTTTGATTAAAGAAATCTCTTTCTAGATGAAATAAAGCTTAAAGCTTAAAGCCTGAAGTTTAAAGTCTAAAGCCTAAAGCCCAAAGCTTAAAGCCTAGAGCCTCAAGCCTAAAGCCCAAAGCTTAAAGCCTAAAGCTTAAAGCTTAGAGCCTAGACCCTTCAGCTTAAAGGTTAAAGCCTAAAGCCTAAGGCCTAAAGCCTAAGGCCTAAAGCCTAAGGCCTAAAGCCTAAGGCCTAAAGCCTAAGGCCTAAAGCCTAAGGCCTAAAGCCTAAGGCCTAAAGCCTAAGGCCTAAAGCCTAAGGCCTAAAGCCTAAGCCTAAGCCTAAGCCTAAGTCTAAGCCCAAGCCTAAGCCCAAGCCTAAGCCCAAGCCCAAGCCCAAGCCTAAGCCCAAGCCCAAGCCCAAGCCTAAGCCCAAGCCTAAGCCCAAGCCAAGCCCAAGCCTAAGCCCAAGCCTAAGCCCAAGCCTAAGCCCAAGCCTAAGCCCAAGCCTAAGCCCAAGCCTAAGCCCAAGCCTAAGCCCAAGCCTAATCCAGAAAATGGGGGTTTAGCCCAAACCCAAATAGACTTAGTGCTAGGCGCTAACCGCTAGCCTTCGCACTAAGTCCAAACCCGAAGCCTAAGCCCAAGCCTAAGCCCAAGCCTAAGCACAAGCCTAAGCCCAAGCCTAAACCCAAGCCTAAAGCCTAAAGCCTTCAGCTTAAAGCCTAAAGCCTTGTGTGTTGACTTTAAAGGCTCCAAAACGAATAACTGGATTTGGTCCACTTCTTTTTTATTTCCAAACGTTTTCAAAACAATAATACTCATCCGGGCACACAAGCCCAACAAATCCTATAGCAAGCTCACCTTCCCTGTGCTCGTCTCTCCGTTCAGCGCGTCCCTTGCCGCGCGCGCTGTCCGCGGCCGTTCACCCGTCATTCCAGCTTCTTCCTGAAGAAAAATTCTTTTTCCCAATTTCCATTTGTTAAACTGGAACGCACACGAGCTATTCAACAAAATTTGGGGAAAATTGTGCAATTTTTGAAAAAACTATTTCCACCTGATCGAACTTTGACGATTTTTACCTGCTGAAATGGAAATTTAGAAAATCTTAAAGTTTCCAAAGTAAATCCTCGAAAGCACAACGGGTTTTAAAAATGAATTTCCAAGATAAAAGTGGTTTTTCTCACTAGTTGCAATTTCCTCTCGCGTTCCTCGCGCTTCTTCTTGATGATCTGATCGCGTTGCATGCCTGGAAATGAGTTTTTAAAAATTTTTTAGCAAATTATGGTCCTCACAGCCTCTCAAATCATACTTAAAATCTTAAAATTCACTCACGGAGGTATTCGGCTCGAGCCGCCAAGTCAGCGGTGCCTATCCGAAATGGTTCTTGGAGAAGAGCCTGAAAAAATGGAAATGCGGGGAAAATCTTTTATCAAGCTAGATAGCACACAAGTCAATGAAATAGACTTTGACTTGAAATTTCGAGATTTAAAGAAATAAGACAGTTGGGTACTGTAGTAAGCTATTGTAAGGCTGAGATTACTGTGGTAAGGCTGGGGTTACTGTAGAAAGGCTGGGGTTACTGTAGTAAGGCTGGGATTACTGTAGTAAGACTGGGATTACTGTAATAAGACAGGGATTACTGTAGTAAGTCTGGGATTACTGTAGTAAGTCTGGGATTACTGTAGTAAGGCTGGGATTACTGTAGAAAGGCTGGGGTTACTGTAGTAAGGCTGGGATTACTGTAGTAAGTCTGGGATTACTGTAGTAGGGCTGGGATTACTGTAGAAAGGCTGGGATTACTTTAGCAAAGCTGGAGTACGACACTAACTGCTGGACAGGGTACTGTAGGTAGTTGTAAGTCGGAAATGCTACCGTAGTCTGCTTATGCAGCTAAACGGGATACTGTAGCTTTGATGTTATCGTACTTAGAAATGCGAACAAATGCCTACATTGATATCAGCGGGCGTTCTCGATTTTTGCACCTCACTCGTTTCCTCGTTTTCCCCTCCGCCGCTTTGCTCTCTTTTATATTCCTGTTTCTCGATGGGCTTCTTCAGCGGACCGATTGTGAGCTTCTGAAATTTTGATTTCAACATCCTTCAACAGTCTAAAAATGGTCTCTTCAAACGTTTTGTTGAAGCAAAAAACACTTTTTAACATAATTTAACCTATTGATTACGTTTCTGATAAAATTAAAGCAAAAAAAGACAGATTTTTTTCTAAAATTTCGACTATGTGGTCCCATTTTTGACTCATGACTCAAAAAATATTTTTTTCAATTTCTATTGCCACTAACAGTGAACTTAAGTTAGAATCTCGGTGCAGGCCGAACCGAAGCCTCAACTCTTCGGCGAATCTCGGTCTGGCCCGAACCGAAGCCCCAACTCTTCGGCGAATCTCGGTCTGGCCCGAACCAAGGCCCAACTCTTCAGTTGAATCTCGGTCTGGCCCGAACCGAAGCCCCAACTCTTCGGCGAATCTCGGTCTGGCCCGAACCGAAGCCCCAACTCTTCGGCGAATCTCGGTCTGGCCCGAACCGAAGCCCCAACTCTTCAGTCGAATCTCGGTCTGGCCCGAACCGAAGCCCCAACTCTTCAGTCGAATCTCGGTCTGGCCCGAACCGAAGCCCCAACTCTTCGGCGAATCTCGGTCTGGCCCGAACCGAAGCCCCAACTCTTCGGCGAATCTCGGTCTGGCCCGAACCGAAGCCCCAACTCTTCAGTCGAATCTCGGTCTGGCCCGAACCGAAGCCCCAACTCTTCAGTCGAATCTCGGTCTGGCCCGAACCGAAGCCCCAACTCTTCAGTCGAATCTCGGTCTGGCCCGAACCGAAGCCCCAACTCTTCGGCGAATCTCGGTCTGGCCCGAACCGAAGCCCCAACTTTCCCGTCCAATCTTGGTCTGGTCCAGTCCGAGATCGGACCAAGATCGAAAACCAGACCGTGGGCCGGACCGAGTGCACATCTATAGTAATAACGAACTGATCAATGGATCCGGTTCAATTACCCAATACAAATATCCCTATAGTTTTATGAGAGATAAAATTCAATAAAACTGTATTTAAAAGAATTTCCCCTCACCGCTTTCATCGATTCACTCAATGAGTCGACTTTCTCGGTTTTTTCAGTCTTTTCTGTCTTTTCGGGTTTCGGTGGTTTTTTGGCGAGTGCCGTTGCGGAAGCTGAAGGCTTTGAGGGAGTATCATTTGCCTGAAATCAAAGATACTGTAAAGTCATATTTACTATAAAACGACAACTGTTAGTAAGACTTTTCAGCACCTTTTCCGGACTCTTTGTTGTTGTAGTTGGTGCTATCGTTGAAGGACTGGCTTGTTCTCTGAATTGGACGATTTGAAAAGAAGAATTTAATGAACTCGAGTAGGAAAAGGGGAAATTTCAAGATCCCATCCATTTACAGGGTTAAAATTAGAGGAAAATCATCAAAATCGAAAAATTTGGGATTTATGGATGTCACTTTGAATAATGAGTGAAGAAATTTTTCGAAAAACGGCTATTTGAAATTTTGGGTTACGGTAGTTAGGGCACTGTTTAGAGAGTACTGTCTAAATGGCTATAAATGGTGGTTTATCGTGTACAATCGAACAAGTGACATCCAGGATTGGTGAAAAGGCGAAAAATATCTTTTAAAGGATGGCTTACGGTAGCTTTGAGCGCCTTATAGAGTACAGCCTTATAGGGTTACTATAAAATGCTTAATTCTTAAAATAAACGTATTGAATTTATAAAATGACATCCAGAACTCGGGAAAACCCAAAAATAATCTAGAAATTTGCGATTCTGGGTGTAAAAAGAGGCGAGACTCGTGTAAATACCGCTGCGCAATGAGTTCATCACAAGAAATCCAGTTGAATGGGTAATCTGGGATGTAAGGGGGTACTGTAGCTAGGGTTACAGTAAGCTTTGCTTTGTCAACCTTCCGGAATCGGTGATCGCCAAGCGTTTTGCCTCGTCGGCGAGTCGTTGTGCCTGAAATAAAGCCTTTTTTTCGAGAATTCTAACAGATTCGTTAGCTAGGAGCTAGCAAAGAAAGAAAAAGGAAAAGAAAAGAACTCAAGTAAAAAATCTCCAGTTTCAGCTATCAGAAGAACCGAAGTTGACAAAAGCCTGCTCAAGTCAAAGCCAAGTCCAATGGCTTTCAAAAGAGCTCGCCTGGAGCTACTTGGATTGGATTTGATTCAATGGATTGGTCTAAAGGCTTGACTTGGTTTTGGCTTGGCTTTGGCTTGGCTTTGGCTTGGCTTTGGCCGGGCTTTGGCTTGGCTTTGGCTGGGCTTTGGCTTGGCTTTGGCTTGGCTTTGGCCTGGCTTTGGCTTGGCTTTGGCGGGCTTTGGCTTGGCTTTGGCTTGGCTTTGGCCTGGCTTTGGTTTGGCTTGGCTTGGTTTTGGCTTGGCTTGATGAAGCTTGGCTTGGCTTTGCCTTTAGCATCTTGTCCATTCGCTCACCTCTTCCAATCGCTTCCTCTCCTCTTCGCCGAAACGTTTGATTGCCTCTAGATCTGCGTCAAGCTCTCGTTTCCCTGCCTCATCGTATTCCTCCTTTGATTTCCTGGAAAATCGGTGATCTTTTTCTTTTTCTAGATCTTTTTCTAGTTTTGGTTTAACAGGATTGTAGCAAAAATATAGCAAATTCAGATTTTTCGCAAAAAATTGAGCAAGAAACGGCAAAGCCAGCTCAAAAGGGAAATGCAAGAGTAGCTGATCTGATCAAAACGGAAATGCAAGAGAAATAAGATAAACCAGCCAGCTCAGTTTTAAGTTCAGTGAAAAGATGAAAATTTTAAGCCAAATTGATCCCTATTCGATCTCGAATAGAGCCTTTAGACGGCTTTACGACTGTTAAAGATTGCTTGATGGTCTAGTGGATAAAAGGCTTGTCTACAAGCTCCATAGTCTTGGTTCCATAGTCTCCATAGTCTACAGAGCTCCATAGTCTTGGTCGAGTTCAATTCCTTTTACTAGGGAATGTTTTCAAGTTAATGTGGGCATTTCGAGCCTATCTGATAGAGTTTTTTACGCTGATTCCGAATCCGGTTTTATCTTTTCCGGAAGAGCTCTGTAACGCGAGAAATTTGGTGCACAAAATGCCAAAATATTTGGCGTACGGCCTCAGTCTCGGTAGGTTTATAAACATAAATGATAGCAGTAACAGAAATAAATAAAACAAGAACACTCAAAACATATGGACACCTAAAAGCGTAAGTGCTACACGAAACTTCACTAAAATCAATTTGAAACAATTTCCGCTGCAAAGCAATATGTTAATGGGGTTGTTGTTAGTGTTTTGTCTTTGTTAGTGTTTAAAAATGTCCTGCAAAAAAAGCGAAAACCTTGGCATTTAAGCGGATTCGAAGCAGCAATCAACAAAAAGCAGCAATCAACAAAAAAACTGACGCGCCAACACACTATCCATCAAGCTACCAGCTCACATTTGAGGGAAAACCTACCTTAAACCTTATAAACCTACGCCAAATATTTCGCCATTTTGTACACCTAATATCTCGCTTTACAGAGCTCTGACGGAAAAGTTAAAACCGAATTCGGAATCAGCGCAAAAATCTCTATCAGATAGGCTTGGTCTCGTTCGAAAACTAGACATCTGACTGACATCTGACTGACATCTGAACTTGACGTAAACTTGACACCCATTTTAACTTGACAACATTCCCTAGTTACCGGAAAACTTTTGTTTTTGACTTTTGTTTTGTATCTCTCTAAATTCGGTTCCCTAGATTCGGTTCCCTAGATTCGGTTCCCTAGATTCGGTTCCCTAGATTCGGTTCCCTAGATTCGGTTCCCTAGATTCGGTTCCCTAGATTCGGTTCCCTAGATTCGGTTCCCTAGATTCGGTTCCCTAGATTCGGTTCCCTAGATTCGGTTCCCTAGATTCGGTTCCCTAGATTCGGTTCCCTAGATTCGGTTCCCTAGATTCGGTTCCCTAGATTCGGTTCCCTAGATTCGGTTCCCTAGATTCGGTTCCCTAGATTCGGTTCCCTAGATTCGGTTCCCTAGATTCGGTTCCCTAGATTCGGTTCCCTAGATTCGGTTCCCTAGATTCGGTTCCTTGTCTCTCTAAATCCGGTTCCTTATCTCTCTAAATTCGAAGATATTCATTTTCATTCAAAGCTTTGTGCTGTGCTTTAATGAAAATCTAAAACATTCAAAATGGGCTCAAAATTGTAAACCAAAGCCAAAACCACTTTTCGAAAGCTCACCTAATCACGGCCACAAGCAAGATGTGATCCATTTCATCCGTTGACAAATCGTGCTTCTTTCGAATTTCCTCTACCTCCTCCATCGATAACATTGAAGGCAAAAGGCCACACATAAACTGAAAATGCTTTGGAAAAGTAATCAAAATAGTAACACAGTAATCAGTAATCAAAACAGTAACAATCTTAACGCAATATTCTTATTACCAAAGCTTACCAAAGCTTACCAAAGCTTACCAAAGCTTACCTTCTTACTATTCGATTTGGTGCTCGAATTATTGGACTCTTTTTTCTTTTAGCATTAATTTCAGGGCTTACCTCGATCATTTGCAGTGCTTGTAGCTGTAATTCGATGTTTTTCTTGCACATCATTGGCACAAAAACGTCGATGTCTTGCGCGGCCATCACCGGCTCCAAAGTGGCCTGAAATAGTAGGAAATAGGAATCGATCGGAAATAGGAATCTATCGGAAATTTGGAGTTGGAAAAGTTTGGACAAGAATCTCATCGTTAAATCATTCAAAGTCATTCATTCAGTCATTCAAAGTCATTCAAATTAATTATAATTGATACTGATCGATCCGAAGACGATCGAATTTCTTGCTTCAGCCGAAATTTTGTGTTTTAATGCATCATTGTGTTTTATTTTATTGCATTCCCATTTCCGATGGTGCTTCGAACAAGTTAGGTTAAGTTAAGTTAAGTTAAGTTGTAAGTTACTTCAAGCCAGGGATGATGATTGCCGAATTGTTTGATCAAATTGATCTTGGTGAAGACGAGGAAAATAAGGGTTATGATAGTGACATCTTGCTTACAGACTTATAACAATAAATACGGTACCTTGGCCACTTTTTCGAGCACAGATCAGCTCACTGCCTAGATTGGGACTAAACTGGCCAGCTTAGCCAATCCAGCTTAGCCAGCCCGGCTCAGCCAGCTCAGCTCAGCTCGTCCAGCTCAGCCAGTCCAGCTTAGCCAGCCCAGCTTAACCAGCCCGGCTCAGCTAGCCCGCTCAGCTCGTCCAGCTCAGCCAGTCCAGCTTAGACAGCCCAGCTTAGCCAGCCCGGCTCAGCTAGCCCAGCTCAGCTAGCCCAAGCCAGGCCAGCCCAGCTCAACCAGCCCATCACAGTCAGCCCATCGCTGCTAGCCCATCTCTGCTAGCCCATCTCTGCTAGCCCATCTCTGCCAGCCCATCACCGCCAGCCCATCTCAGCCAGCCCATCACCGCCAGCCCATCTCAGCCAGCCTAGCTCAGTCGGCCCAGATCGAACCCTAGGCCTAGCTTGACTAGCTCACACCAGAACTGGATCAGCTCATTCTCATCAGCTAGCCTAGTTTAATGCTAGATTGGAGCCTGAGCTTAAGCCTAAACCAGTTCAATCTAAGACCGAGTTTTCCCAAATCTCCGAATCTACCCTTGTCTTCGCGTTGAGTTGCTCCTTTTCGATTGCGCTGAGCGCTTCGGCGAATTGAGAGCCCTGGAAATGGGAATTTTGATAGATAGATATTTGGTAGATAGATTTGCCAAGCGTCTAATCGCACTCAAACTTACAGTAATCCCCAAATCATCGCAAAAACACCCGATAAGCGCGTCGACGAGATCGGCGTACTCTTTGTGAATCGGCTCGTGCTGTGTTGGGTCACCATTCTCGCGATCGAACACTAGAAATTGGGATTTTATTGTGAAATTGTCGAAAAATTGTAGAGGAATCATTTTTCATCGGAAATTCGAACATTTGTAGCCGATTTGGTAATCGATTTTCCTCGAAAATGCGGAACTTTCTTTCTTTCTTTCTTTCTTTGCAATTTGCGAACTCACTCAACGATTTCTGCTCGATAAACGTCGAAATTGGTATATCCCACATGCTGGAGTGGATAAAATCAAGGAAACGCTTGAAGATTTGCCCGGGCGTTTGCGATTTCACCGACAAACGACGAAGCATGTTTTGTCTGAAAAAGAATAAAGAAAATAAAGGAATAAAGAAACGAAACTTTAATTCCATCAAATTTCTTCAACAATTTGAAGTGTTTGATGAGAAATTCTGTAAAAAAAGCTATGGTGAATAAGTAGAATTTAGAGAAATTGAATGAAATTGACTGGAATTCAATGAATTTGAGTCAAAATTGACTGGAATTAACTGGAATTGACCGGAATTGACCGGAATTTAATGAAATTGAAAGAAATTGAAGGAAATTGGCTGAAATTGACTGAAATTTAATTAATTTGAATCAAAATTGAATCAAAATTGACTAAAATTGAAGGAAATTGACCGAAATTTAATGAAATTGAATCAAAATTGTAACAAAATTGACTGAAATTGACTGGAATTAACTGGAATTTATCGGAATTAATGAAAGAGGTTGACTGTTGACTGTTGTCAAAATTGTCAAAATAACCGTTAACCGGAATTAACTGGAATTTATCGGAATTTAATGAAAGTGAAGGAAATTGACTGAAATTGACTGAAATTGAATCAAAATTGAATCAAAATTGACCGAAATTAACCGGAATTAAATGAGATTCAATCAAATCCAATCAAATACAACCAAATCCAACCAAATCCAACCAAATCCAATCAAGTCCAACCAAATCCAATCAAATCCAACCAAATCCAACCAAATCCAACCAAATCCAATCAAATCCAACCAAATCCAATCAAATACAACCAAATACAACCAAATACAACCAAATACAACCAAATCCAATCAAATCCAATCAAATCCAATCAAATTCAATCAAATTCAATCAAATTCAATCAAATTCAATCAATTCAATCAAATTCCATCAAATCCAATCAAATCCAATCAAATCCAATCAAATCCAATCAAATTCAATCAAATTCAATCAAATTCAATCAATTACAATCAAATTCAATCAAATCCAATCAAATCCAATCAAATCCAATCAAATCCAATCAAATTCAATCAAATTCAATCAAATTCAATCAATTACAATCAAATTCCATCAAATCCAATCAAATCCAATCAAATCCAATCAAATCCAATCAATTCAATCAAATTCAATCAGATTCAATCATCCAGTCCTCAAATCCAACCAAATCCAATCAAATACAACCAAATTCAATCAAATTCAATCAAATTCCATCAAATTCCATCAAATTTAAGTAAAGAAACCCTTTTTTTCATCTAAACAACCCTGTCTTGAACATTTTTCTATCACTTTAAACATATTAGCGCTTTAAATTTCGTCGCTTAACACTCAATTCAAATGCAATCCTTTTATTTAAGGCTTTAGAATGGGAAAAATTACAATCGAATGGGGGAATTTTCGAAAAGAAATGCAAATCAATGCTGTTATTGCTGAAGAAATCCCTCTTTTCTTCCCCTTTTTTCCCTTTTTCCCTATTTTCCAACTCCTGGGTTACCAAGGGAAACCAGAAAAGAAAAAAAAAAGAATAATAATTTTAGATCTCCTTGTTTTCTCAAGAGAATTTCTTTAAAATACTAGATTTTTCACCTGGTGAATGGGAGAATTTTTGAGAATTTAGGGAAATTTCGGGGATTTTCGGGAATTTGGGGGAATTTTTGAGAATTTGGGGGGATTTTTTGAGAATTTGGGGGAAATTTCGGGAATTTGGGGGAATTTTTGAGAATTTGGGGGGATTTCGGGAATTTTCGGGAATTTCGGAAAATTTCCCTATAAAGCATGGCTTAATTTTGTTCAATTTTCAACATAAATCATCAAAGCAACAAAATCGCAAAAGGTTTTTCTTTCAGAAAACTATAGAAACTATAGAAACTATAGAGAAACTAGATTCTCGACGCTTTTCTGGCAAAGTTTCTTGGCTTCGAATTTGAGACGAAGCAGAAGAATCGTTAAAGCGAAATCATTGAATCATTGAATCATTGAATAATTCCTAAAACGCTGAATCATTGCTAGAACAATTTGAAACCTTTCTACTAGTCGTATTAGAAACTTTTACTAACCACTTTTACTAACTTTTTCTCATTTTAGGACTTTTACTTCGTATTTAACACATAGACGATCGTGTGACCCAATGCTGAGCCATGCTTGGCTACCCGTTCGGTCCACGTGAGTCAATATTGAGTCATGCTTGGCTACCCTTTCGGCCAGTGAGTCAATCTTGAGCCATGCTTGGCTACCCGTTCGGTCCACGTGAGTCAATATTGAGTCATGCTTGGCTACCCTTTCGGCCAGTGAGTCAATCTTGAGCCATGCTTGGCTACCCGTTCGGTCCACGTGAGTCAATATTGAGTCATGCTTGGCTACCCTTTCGGGCCAGTGAGTCAATCTTGAGCCATGCTTGGCTACCCGTTCGGGCTAGTTAGCCAATCTTGAGTCATGCTTGGCTACCTGTTCAGGCCTGTCAGTCAATCTTGAGCCATGCTTGGCTACCCGTTCGGGCCACGTGAGTCAATCTTGAGCCACGCTTGCATTTTTCTGATGTGGTCGCGTTTGTTTTTGCGGGAAACAAAGAGGATAAAGCTAAGTCTTTCTCAGCACGATTTTGTACTCATTAGCTACATTTTTTTCCTTTTTCCTTTTTCCACTCAAATTTGTTCGCTGTTTTCCGTTTCCGGAGACTTTTCAAGAGGTTAAATTTCATTTTTCAAGAACAGACTATAATTTTGACTAAAGTTTTTGTAATTTGTAATTTTAAAAGTAATTTGTTTATAAATAAAGTTTAACTCCGAGAAAGTAAACCTGTTTTTCACATTTTCTCTTTTTTTGCTTTATGTTTTAATAAAACTGTGAGCTAGAATAGCAGATTTATTAGTGAAATGGTAAAATTTAAATAAAAAAATATAAAAACGAGTTCTAAATAGAGCGATGAAAGCTTAAGCTATGAAAATTTATCAAAATTCAATAAGGGTTTTGGTTTTGCTTTGGATTTTGATTTTGATAAAGTTTTATTGAATTGAGAAGTATGAAAAGGCGGCCTCGAGCTTTTAAACGTTTCAATTTTTAAACTTTAAAACTTTTAAACCTTTAAACCTTTAAACCTTTAAACCTTTAAACTTTTAAAAAGAGCTTTTAAAACAAAAACTACAGGGTGACCAAGAATTGCTGTAACAACGTTGTTTTATTTTATGAGCCTCATTTCACTTTTTGCTTACCTGTTTTTATGATTTTTGTGTAATTTTCTTATTTTATGGTATGATTACTAACTTTTACTGATTGATTACTTTGAATATATTAGTATGGTTGTTTTCAGGAATGGTGAAAGCGTCTCCACATCGACAATCGATCCATGATCCGTCTCCACATCGACAATCGATCCTTGATCCGTCTCCACATCGACAATCGATCCTTGACCCGTCTCCACATCAACAATCGATCCTTGACCCGTCTCCACATCGACAATCGATCCTTGATCCGTCTCCACATCAACAATCGATCCTTGACCCGTCTCCACATCAACAATCGATCCTTGATCCGTCTCCACATCGACAATCGATCCATGACCCGTCTCCACATCGACAATCGATCCTTGACCCGTCTCCACATCGACAATCGATCCTTGACCCGTCTCCACATCAACAATCGATCCTTGATCCGTCTCCACATCGACAATCGATCCTTGATCCGTCTCCACATCGACAATCGATCCTTGATCCGTCTCCACATCGACAATCGATCCTTGAGCTCAAGCGGCAGTGTTTTCAGGCGAGCGAGATCTCAAAGCGCCCCAGAAGTCCTCAGAAGCCCCAGAATGTCCCCAGAAGCCTCGTTTCTCGAACCATTCACCGTTATGAAACTCTGGGCACAGTTTCTGATCGCTCTGGAAGAGGTGCAAAACGAACAGCGGTTACTCCGGCTAATGTCAAAAAAAAGTGCGCGATCGTCTAAGATTAAACCCTAACCAATCTAAATTGAATTTAATTGATTAATTTAATTGTTAATTTGTTACTGTTATATGTTGAATAAAGATATTTAAGTTAACTTTTTGAGATGGGTTGCATATTTAGTTAAAAGCCAGGTCTTTTCCGTGTTACGGTAATTCTTGGTCACCCTGTAGAATCAGAAAAACGCATTGAAAGTGGCGATGAAATTCTGCGCACTTCCGCTATCAATGCCCCGAATTGTCTGTTTGATGTGTCCCCGTTTTTGTCGGCTATTTGCGAATCGAATCTTCTCAAAGAAAGACGAAAAGGAACTGAAGTGGAATTGGAATGGATTGGAATGGAATTGGAATGGAATGGAATGGATTGGAATGGAATTGAGCGGAAATTGTGATCCGCGTCGAAGAAAGGAGAGAAATTTTTGCGATTTCTTTGATCGCCTTTTGTTCGCGCGTGTGTTTGTGTGTTGTGTTTTTGCAAGAGAACGAGAATTTCTGTGTGCGGACACTTTTTAAGAAGTTAGAGAATCAAGAGAATGTGTCAAAATATAAATTTTGCCTCGTGTCCCTTTTCCGCCGTGATCTTGGATCAATCTTGCATCTTGTATCAATCGAATCCACAGAGTGCATCATAAATATGGCCCCAGATCAATCAATCAATCGGTTCGTAACCGAAAAAGATTGTTAGACGTAACCGAAAAGCCAAAGATAACAAATTTCTTATAACAATCTTTAGTTATATGTTAACAAGGGGTAAAACTCAAATTTCAAAGATTTTTCCGTCAGCGATGACGCAAACTTCAAGACGGAAGGTGGTAGACAAAACTAAGGTCGTCTCATGCTTGTCCCATGCTTGTCTCATGCTTGTCCCATACTCGTCCCATGCTCGTCTCATGCTTGTCCCATACTCGTCCCATGCTCGTCTCATACTCGTCTCATCCTTGTCTCATACTCGTCCCATACTCGTCTCATCCTTGTCTCATACTCGTCCCAAACTCGTCCCATACTCGTCTCATACTCGTCTCATCCTTGTCTCATACTCGTCTCATACTCGTCTCATGCTCATCCCATTTAAGGAGCGCTTTCTTTAACGAGCCAACTGTTCGATGTGGCTTAGC